TTTTTTTTTCAGTCCTAAGATTGATAGTTACTAAATAGAATAGGACAGTGTTACAAATGCTGACTACATCACATCACATTTCTCTCCATGGGGATTTATATGGTTCCATTTAGTTTTACAGTTTGGTTCCAAAAATTAGTCTGTGTTTTCAGACAAAGAACAGGAGCAGATTGGGACACCGTTTACAAAAAAAAATAGATAAAAAGTAGATTTTGAGTCATGAAATAAAAGAAAGCACAAAGAAAGCACCTCGAAATGTGACAGTTTTTAATATGAGGACATTAAAAACACAATTCTTATTAGGTCTTTACATTTGCCAAACCCAACCTCACACTAACAGCAGCAGTCACTTTTCCCCATGACTTTAATTTTGAAAAAAGTTGTTCTGGCTTTTCATGGCGAAAACGAATATTTTCCTGGACTTTGTAGAGGCATACAAAGTTGTCCTCATGAGAATCCCAACGAAACCCAGTTATAAGAACATCAGAAAAAAGCTCCATAAATGGGATGTCTAACACAAGAGCTCCATTCATCCCACAGGAGGAAGACAAATACAAAGGGAAAAGAGGACGATTTTTTACTTCAGTGGGCATCTGTCTAAAAGCAATCGTACATCATGTTCTCTCTGATAAAACTATTTTTGTGAAGAAGCTCATGAGGTCATCACTACTACGAGTTAAAGGAATACCTGGCTCAACGGAGCTCTGACTGAGACAGCCTGGCTACAGATCGGAAAAGAAACCTGGGATCGTTCTTATTATCTTCTATCAGTTCTGACTAATAAGCAGTTCTACCTTTGTAAAGGGTTTTTTATGCTATCGAACCATTTTTAACTGAGACTAACTGAGATTCCTCTATCTTGGAGGAACTCAATTAAAGTTTGCTTTAAAGCGAGCCGCTGTGAATCATACCAAAGAGCCAGCCTCAGACTGATTACCTTCTTTTTTGGAAGGGCATCATTTCATCACACTCCTGTTGTATTTGCACATGGCAATGAACAAAGTGATAATGGATTTGAGGATGTGAATCATTTCAGCACAGTAGCTCTACCTCTTCGGATGATCAAACCTTTTTTCCATGTGGCTGCTTTTTATGGCTTCAGCAGAGAGGATGTGGGCAGGAGCTCGAGTTCAGCACAGTTTCCATCACGGCTCTGCTCCCAACCTGCTCAACAGACTAACTGAAGTAGAACAAGTCAAGACTTCTGTACCACCAGATTAATCTCCCCAGATATCTAACCTCACAGACAGATAATATGTTATTCACTGACTGTGCACCGATTCAAAAGTGGGAATAAATATTCAATGAGGAAAAGGTTCTACACACACCACAGCCATCCTCTCTTAGGGGGCAAGATTTCCCCGAGTTTAATCCAAAGTATAGCACAAACTGGAGTCTGCCAACACAGCAAACCACAGGCTGACTCAGGCTACTCTGTCCAGACACCAGGAAGCCATGAAAAGGGTTTTTTTTTTTTTTTTTTTTTACTGAATGACTTGCCATTTGCCAGCATTCATGCCGTTTTTCTTCTCTTGGCTTTACGATTCACATCAACGGCCGTGGTAAAAACAAGCTGACCACCTCACATTCATAACAACCTCACAATTCAAGAATAAAACAATGAGAGAAGAGCAACTGAATAGGCTAAACTGCCATATGTCGTATTTAAAATGCCTTTTTAACGATCGCTATATTACACCAATGTATCAAAACTATCGCTTGGTCTTCAATCAGACTTCCAGATCTCAGTGCTCTTCATGGTACTGTTTCATAATGGTGCAGTTTAAAGAACATTAAAACAGAGAGGAAGCGGTCCCTAAAATACTGTTTGACAGTCAAAGTCTTGAATTTCCTTTAGTGAACGCATTTCAGCTTATGAGTCATAATCGTCCGAGTATATCACTTTTGTCACTCTGCTCAGGACTATTAAACTTTCCACTGAGGTCAAAGAAAAGACAAACGACTCTCAAAGTACTACAGATCATTAAGATTTACAGGAACGGCCGGTTCTAAGCACCATCCCTCCATTTTAAAGGATATCTTTGTGAGAGTAACTCTAACAGTTTGCCTTTTTTAGTGTCACAACTTCTCCTGAGAACACTCCTCACTATTAATGGAATGAGCCTGGCTGACCCTCTGGGCTCAGACATCTCATTGGCATATTGCTAGCTTCACAGCCAATACCTTTTACCATCTGAGGATGGGGTTGGGGGGGTCACAAAGTAAGCCTTTTCTGTGCAGATAGAGACAATAACTAGAATTCATTGAACCCTCTTAAGTTTGACTTTGATTCCCTTTAGTCAAGACACTTAATACAATATATCAGTTCATAAAATGGAGAATCGTATATATCTCAAAAGCAGTTGTTAGTTTACACCCCTGTGTCACAAAAGCCTCATGATCTACACTATTCAGGGCCCTCTATGACGAGATTCCTTATTGTTAATGGATGATATGCCAACAATTCCATGTCAGAGTAGCGGCTTTGGAAAGGCTTTTTCGCGTCTTTGGCATTGTTTTCTACATACATGGGCATGGTGGCATGTGGGGAAACAGCTGAGCAGTGCCCCACATTCATGGTAGATGTTGCACCAATGATCGTTTCCTGTGAAAAGTTGTCAGGAGTTGTTAACACTAAATCCTCCTAAATCCCGCAGGAAGATGAATCAGTGCAAGACAGACACAGCTGCACCATCACATGATAAGTGCAGGATGAGGAGCTTTAAACTCTTCAGGGGCAGGACAAAGAACATGAGCTCCAAATGCTCTTAACTGGCTTTTCTCAGGACCTTTTAATAAATATCTCATCAAAAGTTGCACTCCCCCCTAACCCTAACCCCCCCAAAAAAAATTCAAAATTAAAAAATCACTATATAACTTAACTTTCTTACTCCCACTGAACAATTTCCTGGAACATGAGAATTGCTGTTGAACGTATTCAGACTGTAGAGCACGGTGCCTTTAAGTGCAGGACTTGCTTTGTGTCAAAAGGGGGCGCTGTGTGTTTGATTTAAATATTAGCTTCTTAGCTCCATCTCTTAAAACTGTGACCTGGGCGGCGCAGCGGACCTGTGAGGTACATTTAAACTGTTGAAAACTACCAAAGACGTTACCCTAAAACACAAAAAGTGACAGCTTTTCTGTTTTTTAAAAAAAGGAGTGGTTGGCACACTCCCCGAGTTCGTGGGGTTCCCCGGCTCCCCAGCTGTTGCTTGTCTTTGAAAACGAAGTTTTCCACCCCACATAAACCCATTATTGTTAGCCCACTCTCCGTTACCTTTGACTTTCAAGTTTTTCTCGCTTACCATGGTAAGAGGTAGAAACTTATAACCCACCGATTGTCCCGCAGTGGTAACTCTTTCCTCTGTGGAGACGCTTACTTTCCGACGCGGTGCATTCCTCTGACAACAAAGCTTTGCTTAAACTACGTTTGAGAAGCGCTTTTTTTAAGTGAGATAGAATAGAAATGAGCTTTGTTATATGGGTCAGCGTTGTTCCATTGATTTGGAACCGTTCTCCACAAAGAAACCACCCCTTGCTACGTTGTCCAGCAGTGATGTCACTCCACTGTGCCGACCCCCACGCACCGTTTAACTGTTTAGTGAACGCACCATTCAGCCTTTCTGGCCATTTGAATGAGCCTGAACGCTCCAGCGCCAGGTGACGGGTTCAAGTCCCCGTGTCGCTGAAGTTATACTTATCCAGTGTTGATCGGGATAAGAATAAGCGTTCTTCTGACAACTTTAACACTCTAATGTTTCACAGTCGTGCTGATCTTCTATTTATATTCCTACTTTCCTTTTCTAAAGTACAATAACAGAATAATTCAAACGAATTTAAAGAGCAGAGCAAGGGAAAATACACCCATAAAAACAAAAACAGGTTAACGCTTATCTACACCTAAGGAAAGATCAATCAGAACATTTCAATAGCAAATCACCATGCAACATATAAGAAAATATTATGTTTTAATCAAACCTTGGCGAGCAAACAAAAAAATAAAAGTGTAAACACTGAGGAGAAATATATAATCTTGTTCTACACAACTCTAGGTAGGATCTGTTCTCAGACAACATGGAATTTCACAACCCAGACGACCACCCGTTGCAGATCAAAATGAACATAAACAACAATATTCTATCACTGAATCAAATATGTACAAAACGGAGCAGTGGAAATAACACCCTAGTTTACAAGTTTTCCATGGTCACGAAGCCCCATCTATATTTTTAGAAATTAACTAGCCAGCCAGAAATATGGTCAGGAATAGCTCAGATAAACCTTTTTCTACTGCCAAAGACTTTTAAATACAGTGGTTCCCGGGGTTGTTCAGCGCCCCATTGTGGGCTGTGAGTCACCAAGGGATCACTCATATAATATTTTCACCAAGAGTGTTGAAAGTTACAAAAAAAAGGTCATTTTAAAAGGAACCAGTTGCAGCTGTTTGTGTTCTCCTTATTCCCCTGTTTTACATTCTTTACCCAGTGATAGTGAACTTTCAAATATATGCTATTTCTTCATGAATTGAAAATGTAGGGAATCCCTCTCAATTAAAAGAAACCCTGACAGCATATAAGTTAATCATGTTTGTTTTGCTGTACTGATACTATCAATAACCCTTGTAGTTATTCATAGTTTACTTGCATATGAAGCAATACAGTGTAAGTTACACTTCCATCCAGCCATCATATATACTGCATGTTCCTTGTCATTACACATCATTATCAATTTGGTTGTAAATTAAAGTTGTCTATTTGTACATAATAGTTACTAAATTACCATGTTATCTTAAGTTTAATAAACAAATGTAAATAAAGAATTGATTTATATAGATGTGCCATGTGTTTATTGTTATACGTGGTTCACTTGGCTTTTTTCTCACCTATGAATACTTAATTTAGCAATTGTAATTTTCGCTTTTTTGTCAACTGTATTTCAAGACAGACTGTGATTTATCTCATCAAACATAAAAACTGAAGTATCCTTTGCTTTGAGAGCAGACGTGAACGTCACACAGATCATGTGACGACAACCAGGAAGTGGACTGAGTGTCAACAGTACAACGGTGAGTGGGCAGTTGTTTAAGTCTTCATAAATGGCAGGTTTTTAAATAGCATTTGTTGTAATTTTATGTGTGTTTATTTACGTAACTATGATACTCATCCAGTCTAGTCACAGCCCATGATACGTTCACGTCTAACTTACCAAATGGCATGTTCTTTCATTAGCAAACGGCTGCTTTGCTAACCCAAATGTCTTTCAAATCTACGCAAAAATTAGGTGTACAAATGGGAGTGTGTGTCGTCCTGACGCAAGCATGAAATATATGTTCGCAAAACATACCCATCGCAAAACGAAGGCTCCGTTATAACGTTCTGCTTTTAATCGTCAGGGATCCCACTCTCATTTCAAATATCAAACATCGGTTGAGTTGTTATTAAATATGACACGTTGTATCTGCTCTGTACCATGTGTTTTGCAGTGTTAAAAGCTAGAGATGGCCTGTTCAGATTGGCACCTGTCACTGAAGCTGGTGGATCAGCCCAAATCCACCTTCCACTTCCCAGAAATGATGCCAGGGGACGTCCCTCCCGGAGGATACAGAGTGGCCACCTTAAAACAGCTCGTTGCTGCTCAACTCTCTGACTCTATTCCTGACCCTGAGCTAATAGGTTAGTCATCGCTTTATGGCTAAACAGTGGAGAATATGTTCGTTGAAGTTTTTTTTTTTCTTTTCATCAAATGGGTTCATGTTTTGTTTGCTGTGTGTGTGTATTTTTCCTGTTTCTAGAGTTGGTTCATTGTGGGCGAAAACTCAAAGATGAGCTGACACTGGATGCCTGTGGAGTTCAGTCAGGATCGACCTTACACATTCTAAAAAAGATGTGGGCAGAACCAGAAAGCAATCCAGGTGACGTTTACTGAAGCGACAAAGCCGTTTAATTTGTTCGACATCTTATTTAAAGAATTGTTTAAATGTGTATGTGGGGTTTTGTTTTTTTTCCTTATAGAGCCGGTAAACAAAGCAAATGCCGCCAGGGAGTTTAGAGTGTTTCATGCTGCTCTTCACTCTCTAAATTCTGCCTACAGAGACTCGGTGAGTAAAAGATCCACATTTACACTATCAACTACTAAACAGATTTTTTATCACCAATCTTCATAAAATTTCAGTCAGACAGCAGCCGAGAGGAATCCTGTTGAACTGGAAATAAAAAGAAAGAAAGAAAGAAAAGTCATACTTTAGGTGTATTATATTCCTAATCTAGATTGGCAGTTCACTCAGTAACCACAGCGCAGCATCTCAAATGAACAAAAGCAAACTCACATAACCAGTGGTTTTGCCTCCTCCTGAGTTATTGGGCATCCCTCACCTTACACACAGAGAAACCCTAAGTGGACTGTGCATGGCTGTGTTGTACAGGAATGCTCTGGGGTTGTTACATTTCCTAATATCTGGACTCAATTTCTTGGCTGGGAGACCTTTTTTTGGCTCCAGTGATTCGGATCCTGTCCCCTGCCATTCGGGTGCCGTCACAACAGTGTTCACAGCTGTTCACTTCTGATTGGATCACCCTCGATGCTTTTCGGAGCCGAGGATGCACAGAAACATAGAGCAGCCAGAGGCCGGTCAGAAAACCCTGAACAGGAACATGTTCAACTGTTAAAACATGCCAAAATTCTGGCTCCAATGATAGAGACAGGAATGGTAACAGTAGCATGCAGATGTTCTGCACAGCTGTTGACTTCTAAAACATATCTACCTCTGCTACCACTGTGATTATCACTAGCTGCTTCTAAAATGCTCTTTTTTTTACCCTCAGGTGTATAAAATGCTGACAAACAAAGAGTCTCTGGATCAGATTATTGTAGCTACACCAGGCCTGAAGTCAGACCCAGTAGCCCTTGGTAAGGCCAGCCAGAGCTCTGCAAACACCTCAGTCTTTGTACCAAAACGGTTATGCTAACTGTAGCATTTTCTCCCTGAAACATTCAGGAGTGCTCCAGGATAAAGATCTCTTCGTGCAGTTCACAGACCCAAACATGCTGGACATGTGAGCATGGATGTCATTTTTGTTAGCTCTCTAAAGACAGTGGGATGGGCGGTCACTCTGATTCCTGTTTCCCTCTCCCTGCCTTTCTGATAGATTGATCGGTTCACATCCAGCTCTGGTCAACGCTATCATCTTGGTCCTGCACTCGGTGGCGGGCAGTATGCCCGCCCAGTCCAGCGCCAGCTCCTCGCGCAACGTCTCCGCCAGTTCTTACAGCGACATGCCAGGTAAGCAAGAACATGCTGAAGGTCAGGTGGTCATCAGTGACAGTTTCCCACTTATAAACCCCCTGCCTTTTGTTGCAGGAGGCTTCATGTTTGAAGGCATGTCAGACGATGAAGAAGAATTCCAGTCTGTAAGTCCGCGCTCAGCATCAGGCGAGATGTGCTGGGGAAAACTGTACAGCTAACGGCCGTGACCAACATGTGGTGTGTGTGTGTGTGACTGTGTGGAACAGGGAAGCCCGGCCGGTCCCTCCAACAGAGGCGGGCTCTCAGCGGGAATACGGCCGGTGTCTCTGGGCCACAGTGGAGCAACCGGCCCGCGACCCATCACACAGAGCGAGCTGGCCACGGCTCTGGCCCTCGCCAGCACCCCGGACAGCAGCGCTGTCACCCCGACAACGGCCAGTCAGGTGAGACCGCACACAGGGGGTCCTGCATCAGTCCGCCCAGAAACTGAGCTGTGCTGCTGTCTGTGGAGTAGAATGTGGCTCATTTCTTTTTTCTATGATGTAAAAACATGCTCCTTGCTGCAGAGTCTGGCTACATCACCACTCCTTTTTTCTTTTCTTTTCCCCTGTGCTGTCTTTGATTAAGTCGGACCCTTCCAGTGGTGTAGCCCCCATGCAAGCCGGGACACCAGTCAGCAACGATCTCTTCAGCCAGGCTCTACAACAAGCTCTGCAAGCCACTAACATGTCCACCCTACAGGTCAGCTAACTGCACAAATCCCACACGCTCCCTTCTTAAAGTGATGTGTAAAGAGGTAACCGGGCTGTGTTTGGACCAAACATTACTCCCTGAGCTTGTTTTGTTTTGCAGGGCCGCTGGCAGTCCCAGATGCAGCAGCTCAGGGACATGGGGATCCAGGATGAGGACCTGATGCTGAGGGCGCTGCAGGCCACAGATGGTGACATTCAGGCTGCCCTGGAGCTCATATTTGCTGGCGGCGCAGGACTCTGAGCCCACATTCCATGGACAGACCGTCCTGTCATGGAGAGAGGAGTGAAAAGCCGGCCTATAGTTTTGCCCCCAAACAAAAAGGAAGTTAGACTATAGTTGCATTTTCTCCTCCAACAGCTTCTCCACAGCTGACTTACAACATTTTTCTTATTAACTTCATTCACTTTATAATAAAGCAGACATTGTCAACATCATCTATGCCTTAAATGTATTATTTCTTGTTTTGTTAAAACCACCAGCTTGGTCTGAGATGATGGCTGCAGCTGTTTACAGTGTAAAATGCTTCAGAATTTGGCTTTACGTTTTACAGGGACAATTAAAGCATCTTAAAGGTGGAATTTCAATTAAATGATCAGGTGGCAGACACAGCCACAGTCCAAAACCCAAATAAGATCATTCAAAAGGGACTATGGTCTGTCAGCTGGCCAGGGAACACCTCCGGATCCCCAGGAGGAGAGGGAAGTCTGGGCCTCTCTCCTTCAGCTGCTGTCCCTGTGAAGGAGGCAGAAGAAGATGGATGGATCATTCAGAAATGTCATAAACCAGTGTGTATTACATCCATAACCGTAGTGAAATCAACAAGAAATTACAAAGAATTACAATGTACTTACATCAAATGACTGCCAGTTGTATTTTTTCTCCCTGGATGGTTGGTGGAAAACCACCATAAGACAACAGAATTAGAAAGGACGGAAAAGAGAGTGTATAAGCAGTTTATCCACTGATATCCGTAAACTATTCAGTTGATAAAATAGCACAATTAACCCCCAGAATCCTAATACTTCCTAAGTAGGCACAAACGAAGGAATAGTGTGAAGTATATTTCAGCTTCAAATGTCATTACAATAAACCATAAAACATTAAAAAGTCTCACATTAAAACTTGTCATATCCATGCTGGCCATTTTGCCATTGTAGTTCCCCATCTGTACACTAGATGGCAGTGCAGCACTTGGTTCCAGCAGGCGGACCGCCACTGACCCAGTCCAGGTGCTGCTCGTGTCTTAAATCATCCCCCCGATGCCCCCTCTGTGGAAGGCCTCCGTTAATGAATCTCAAACTAACCAAAGAAGACAAAGCACCTCATCAGAGTCATAAATGAGGTAGATGCAAATTAACAATGATGGCTTTGTTCCCATCCACTGAGATGATGCCACGCTTGTTAGAGAATTGTCACCGTTAGCTGAACCCCCCTTCTCCCCCTTTTTTTTCTGTTTTATTACAGAAAGACACATTTGCTTTGTTTCGTTGTCTCCCATCTGGATGTTTTCGGGGAGGACATAATGCACAATCCCCCCCCCGTCTTTTCTCTGCCCACCGTCCTCCATCTACTGTAATTGGCCGGCCTGGTTTTATAGCTGCATCTGTGAATGTGACAGCTCAATCAGCAGATTGGCCTTTCATGAGCCCAGCACCCAAACAGGGCTTTGTGTGCGTCTGTCCTTGTTACCATTTCGTACAGCGTGCACACCTGCGGGCAGTTTCCACCTCCAACTGCCTCCGAGGGGGTATTTTCCATATAAAGCATTTTCATTGTGCTGAGGGGGGAACGCCACTCTGACAGAACAGCGCCGAAAAGAAGTGACATTGGCTGCAAATGAAAAGAGGAGACAGTTAAGGCTGTTCAGCGAGAGAGAGAGATAGAGGGAGAGAGAGGGTGACATTTGAAACTAAGCAGGGATGTAGACGTGTTTTTTAATGCTTCAGTTGCTGCTGAGCACTGTGAGCAGATGTACTATTAAATACAGTGTAGTGTATCAGCCATTTGCTTCTGAACGCACAAGCTGTCACCGTAGCTCAGACTCCGAAAGAACGGCTTCCATAAAACTCCAAACAGTTTATTGTGGCAAATTACCAAGTGACATCGCCATGGAGACACCCTGTGGTGTGTGAAACATCACCAAACATATGGCTCAGTAATGATATTTTTACACGCCGTGTTGAGGCCCCATTTGTTCTCCACGACTAACTGCGTAATCTGAGAGTACCTGCTAACTGAAATCACAAAACACTGCAACGGACTGCCGGCACCTGCTCAGTCTGTCCTCACAGCTCCAACTAAATGTGTCCAGACTGTTCTGGGACCTTTCTTGTGCAACAGAAGCTGCGGCTGAACATTTCCAGCGACTGCTCATCAGTCCTCACGTCAGCTGGGAGGAATTCTTAGTCAGTTTCTCTCTTCAGATCAGCTCCAACTCTGACACATCGGTGTGTTTTCTTTCAAGTGAGAGTTGGACATTCTCATTGAATTACAGCTTGACTTGAACTCAGATGTCTTTCAGGGTATGCTGCTGAAATCCAAAACCAGTCTCAAGTGTTCCTAAACACATCCCCAAAAAAACAGTCCTGGCAAATGAAACAGCAACAAAACCGAGAAATGGGCAGGGAACCATGAAAAAAAAAAGAGTTGTGTTGATTTTTTTGTTTAAATGGACAGTACAAACAGACATGTTCTGTCAAAGGTGTTTTTGAATGGTAAAAGGAAAACATACTGAAAAAAGTTAAAATGTTTATTGTAGATGTTTCTCATCAACATGTGTCACGTCAATCCTCCAAACCACGATCCTACCACCACCATGCTCCACTAAAAGATTTGTTTCTTGACTGTCTTCCGCCTCTTAAAACATGATGCTTCTCTTTCACATCTGCCAACTAAAGCGGCTAAAAACAGCTCTGTGATTCAGAGATTCACTTTTCACAGGCAATCATCGTTGGCTGACAACTCCTTATCAGGGAAGACTGTCTAACCTTTTCCACCCTGATTTTTAATCAGGGTTGAATGATTTTTCATGACATGCTGGCTCTCACTTCATATGAAAGAGCAAGATTTTTTTTTCTTTTTTTAACAAATTTAAATGGAAAAAATTGAAGTTGAATTACCCTCCAATTATTTGACTCCAACAATGTGAATCCATGCAGCGATATATGCAGAAGTTATCCTTCTATAGAATTTCTCAGACGTTTCCCCAACACAAATGGAGTCATGCCTGTAAAAGGCCGCCTCTGAGAAAAGACATCAACAGCCAGAGCGAGGCCTCCCTAATGGTTCCAACCGGAGCTCTGAATCCAGCACAAATCTGCCCAATTACTCCCACCGCACCTGGGACTCAGGTAATGAGCGGGGTCCTGAACTGTGTCATTGCTGGCAATATATTAACTCAATTGAAATGATAAGTGCCAGACTTGTTGGAACTGTGGAGGAGCTTGTCTAATCAAGCCTTCACAGACATGCAGAACAATACAACACTCCCCTCTCCAGATACAATCCCGGAATATCCCAGAGCAGATAGAAAAGGCAGGAATCGGTATAATGGCCTCCATCTGCTTTTGTCTTTCTGAAAGGAGGCAACTCCCGCGTTATTAACATAAGGTCTGTTACCTGAGATTGCTTTCTGCCCGGCGTGACTGAGCGGAATATGAAATGAGCTTTTGATGGACGCAAGGCCATTTCATACCCTTGTTGCCCATTCATGGCTTTCAAGCCATGCTTTTTATTCCTTCTCCCTCTTTTTGTGCTCTCCCTTTGTCCACAAAAGCTTCTTTGATGCATTTCATCCCAGGTGCTTTAACCCCTGCTGCTGCTTCTGTGGAAGGGACAGAGCTGAGGCAGAGCTGCACCTCTCACAGAGGGAGCCTGACGTCAAACTTTAAATAGCATTTCTATTTGTTACATAAGTTTTATCAATTGTGGGGTACTGTGAAGAAATCAGATACTAAAATTTTTTTTTTCTCCCTCTCTTCTTGTTTTTAAGACATTTGGCCTCTTTAATGGTTGTAACATTAAAGTATCATTTTTTTCCAGATATGCTGAATATATGGGCTCTCTTTTATTCTAAAAGCATTCCATATGGTTAGTGCATTACAGATTCTGCCTCCTATCTCACGACTCAAGAGGCTGTGAGTGTTCAGCTCTTTTCATCAGCCTCTCGTCTGTGCTCCTTCTGAACGTATGCCAGGTGCTTTGTGGCCAAAATATCCCACATTAAAACGTTTTTTTCCCCCCCATCACAATAGAACTGCTCTGAGAAGCATTTCGGGGTAAGCCGTAGATGCTGAGGCTGTTTAAATCATCTTCATGAACAACGAGCAAACACACACACAGATCAACTAAATCCTCTGTTGTTACATCATGTTAGGCAATACACATGCAACTATGCTGCAATTAACAAAAGCAAAATCCAGCAAACACATTTGAGTATTCACATGTATAGGTATACATATATGTGTATAGGTATAGATATATACATATATATGTACCCATTTTTCAGCAACATTTAACTTCAATTTGAACTGTTGAAGTCAACTCAAAGTTTGTCAAATTCCTTTCCCACGCGTTTGCACATTGAGGGCAGGACTAAAACAGGAAAAATAGAGGCCTACACAAAAGTGAGAGCATGCCTACGATATGTGCCCTTTCTTTCCAATCTTTGTCAGGACTATGGTTTGTTCACAGAATTGATATCAAATTGATATATAACTTAGGGCAAGCAAAAAATAAAAACAAAAAGCAAAAAGTTGCCTCGATAAGAAGGAAAAGACATATTATAAGCACGTTACACAGTCAAATCACACTACTTTGATAAACAACAGTGTGGATATTTGTTTGTTACATTTGTTATTAGTGGAGAACAATCAGTGCTGGAGAACCGGCTTGGTAAAAGCTTCTGCATTCTGTCTTTGTCTCAAACAGCGGCCACTCTTCCCTACTTATTAAAGGGCTTCACCATGGTAACTGGTGATGGTGGAGATACTGGACGGGGCTTTTTCCCCCCTCGCTAAATAATGATGTCTTCGGTTGGAGCTTTGTGACAGAAAAACGGACAGAAAAAAAGGTAAAAACAACCAATTTAATTTCAGCTTAAACTCATAAACCCAACTTTATTAATTTTGCACCGTGGTGCCTCTACGTCCCCATACATTACATTCAGTATATACATTTGGCCATGAGGGACTATACAGAGATGTGTTATAGTAGTGCATACATACGTGGCACAAAAACAAACACAAAGAAAACTCATACATGCCACTTTACCACAGTGAAGCAAAACACGAGACACACTCGGGGCAAGTCAATGACTGATGGCTGCTTACACCAACACACACACTCACACGCGCACACACACACGCCCAACAAACTCTGCTTCATGCATGCACAACAGTGTGTTGAGACACACGTTCACGCACAAGCTTTAAGACACTTCTGAGGGAGGAGAAGGGCTCTTTCAGGTTCTCATAATAGAAAAGCGTGGATGTCAAGAGTCTGCCTGCTGACTGCAGCAAATCCCTCCTCCTGTCAGAACACCTTTCCCTCTGTCTCTCCCTTATTCGCTCCCCCCATACCTCCACTTTCCCTTTCTCCTCAGCTAAGGCTTCTCATGGCAGTGCCATCGCACGCACAACTCCTTTCCATTGAGATGAGTCATGCTCATCGGCAGGAATCACTAAACAGACTCCAGTCAGCAGCTGGTCAACCAAACAGTGGGCATGTGCAACGTAAAGGGATACATCGCACATAGTTTTTTTCTGTAATTTGCATTCCTTTCAAGAGACCTTCTGTCTACAGGTCCGCTGTGACACCGCTGACATGAAGAGGCGCCCTCATTAGACGCACTGATTTGCTGATCGTGCCACGCCGCTGATCCCATCTCCTCCTGCTGAACATGTTGTACCATCACATTAGTCATAAACACATCTCTGAGGCACACGCACCGCCATCATCTTCCCCCCTGTGACTGCAGCTTAGAGTTGCATAGCACACAGCAGATATACGATCAAAGCCAAACGCGCGTCGGACTTCATAGGGTCATGCTTCCAAAATTTATCTAAAAAAAAAAAAGTCTGAGTGTCATTTTCTGCCTCGTCCTTCTACACTTTGAATGTCCATGTTGCTTATTGAAGAAAGAGAAAACAAAATTGAATTATAGACTCAGAAGACTTGCATTAGGCCGCCTCATTAGGATGATGTCACCAAAGCTGCACTACTGGAAGGTCGGACTCAGACTGATGTGAAGAAAATATTATTGACTGGTGCATAATAAACTGCAGGCGCGAGAGCAGCCACCCGGCAAAGTATTTTCTAATTCTCGCTAAAGTGGGATTAATGGACAGACGGGAGGAGGAACGTTCAGGAGGGGTTTATAACAAAAGAGCTTGGAGCACACG